TCACACACGAGATAATAATTATGTTTTATAAAATGCAATCAAGAGGAAGAAAGAAGCTTTTCAGTATAGATACGCTATGCGTTTAAAAAAACCCTCTGCCTAGAAAACAACATGAGTCATTAAGCAGCTTTAATTATCATTTCTTTCAAACAAGTCATCATATAAGTAAACATTAAGGTATGTCAACAATTGAAGTGATTTTTTCCTCTTCCCAAACTGCTATGATTTTTTGCTTCTCTCACCACAAACTACTAGTATAAACTATTTTCAAATCTATTTGGATTTTAAAGGCAGTGCAATGAAACCACAGTTATCACTTCACATGAGGTATTTTAGTCAGCAGATCTCATAATTACAGGGAAGGGAGGTATGGGATCTTCATTTATGCTTTCACTCTTCTTTACAGGAAACAGTATTTAAAAATAGACCAACCAATTTAATACACTTAACAACTACAGATTATTACAGGTATAATAGGGAATATGCAAAAAACCCTGTATCATGTATGGATTGTTGAGCAAACATTGCTATCCTTCCAAACCTTGTATCAGATAGAAAAGGCTCAAGGAACTGTCACTTGACAGTTCACCACCTCTGACTTTGGGTTTATTAGGTGGCCCCAGACATGAAACATAAGAGAGAAAACAGCTGCTTTGTGCCACCTAAATTCCCATCTGGCAGGAATCTCAGTACCTCAGAGAAGCGTGATGAAAAATAGATGTTGGCAAAAAACAGTGACAGAGGGGGAGAGACAAGGGACAGATGATACCAAAAAAATTAATATACTTCCTAAAAGGAAAAGAAGGCAAGATAAAACAATGGCAATGATATGCATCCTCTTCACACCAGAGAACTTCACATGTAGGACACGCACAATCAAAGTCTCTGCTTTGGTTCCAAGATGAAAATCCTGAAAAAACTAAACTAACACTCCAACACCAACCTCCCTTTAAGGGGTCTTGCTCTTCTACACAGAGAACAGCAGGGTCCCACAGAAACTCATTTTTTGTGTTTGAAGTTAGTCTTTGGAAATGCACTTCCAAAGCAGCACTCAGAAACTGTCCAGGGACTTGGTGTCTTGTGGGAAATGATTTGATCTGGAAAACAGCAATGACTGTTCCTACCCAGTGAGGCAACAGTATTAGTAGTTCAGAGTCCCTGACCCCAGCCTTGGAAAAAAGATCCCTGTCTGTCCAGGTGTGGTCCCAAGCACCTCTCCAGGAACATGCTGCATCCTGAACATGACATTTCTCACATACAGATCATTAATGTCAATACATAACTGTATTTCCCCAAGTTGTTCCACATTCTGCTGCCAAACAATATACATTTTCCAAACTCCGATGACTGAAATAAACCCACTTTTTAAAATTTGACCACAACTACTTATTCAAGCTCAATTAAAACACAAGACAAAAAGAGAGATGATGAGACAGAAGTCATTTGGCCACTTAAAACCTACAGCACAAACAGCCACTTTGCAGCTGCCTGAAGAGCTCTCTGCTTTGGAAAGAAATAGTCAAAGGGAAATTTATCTAGAAAATCAGAATATTTATGTCAGTTTCAATAACTACTTGAGCTACTACAGATTCTTCAAATGCAAATCAAAATAAAATACAGCACCACAGAAGTTAGTGCAGCTTGATATTAAAAGTTATTTTGGTGTTTTTCTGTGTGTTTTTTTTTTAATTTATTTAAAGAGCCAGAACATTAAAGAAAGAGTACTTCAAAATTCCTAATCTTACAGCCACAAAAAAGCACAACATAGTTTATACTTTGCAGCTTTCTTAGTTGCTGATCAGAATCAAAAGAAAATGTATGACAGACAACAATAGAGCTTTGGACAGTATTTCTTCCCTGTTTCTCCTGCCCAGTCTCACATTTGATTTCAGAAGATTCCAAGGCTGCTCTAGGACAAACAGTCTTAGTCATCATTACATCACTAGGGATCACTGAGCTACAGTTTCTTACAGCCCCCATCCTAACATCATGGTATTTATCATATCTCAACACAGAATGTCTGCATTTAGCCAATTTTTTCCCATAAAGAGTACTGCTGAGGTTAAGAGAATGAAATCACAAGAAGTGCATTTCTGCTCAAGTATAAAGACTATAATAAGTCCCATTAAATAAATAAAAGTTAGTATAAGCACTGATGGAACAATTTCTAAATAGAGATGCCTCTTTGAATTACCTTATATCTAATTTCAAGCAATACTGCTTAATCTGCATTTGGGATTAATCTGAAAATAATAAATGGTGTATCAGATTTAGTTATTGTGATACAGTTTCAATGCAAGAATTTTTCACTTCATCACTGTCAGTAAAATCAAAAGGTCCCAAACAAATTGGATTCTTAGAATTAAAGGTTCGTGGACTATTTAATTTACAATTTAAAGTAATATAGCATTGAAAGAACGATACTGATCAATTAAAATATGTAAGTAATTTATAGCCCTTATAGTTCATTAATTATAAAACAGTCATGAATGACCCCTGAATTAATCACATGTTCGGGTACTTAGTAAAAGATAGGCTGTCCCCTATCAGTGGAATTCATTCATATGAATAAAGATATCCTCAGTAATGAAGAACAATCAATTCTGGCAGAAAAGACCAGACATCCTACCACGCACAGTGTAAATACATACTATTCTGAAGCTCATCACATCTTTCAGGAAGACATCTTATACCTGGGGTTTAATTCCTACATTTAACATACTACAAATGTTTACTTCAGTCATCCAGCACCTACGGACTTATGTAAAATATCAAAAAATTGCCAACCATCTACTACTCTTTATCGATCATTGCCACCGTGTATATCCTGTGAAAGGGTGACTGGTTGGGTAAATATCAGAGTGAACATTAAAAATTTCTAGTGAAAAGAAGAAAACGTCTAGTGAAAAGAAGAAGAATCTGAAGAAAATATCAAAATTCCTCCCATTTGCACCATTCCAGGAGACATTGTATGAAAGGACCAGATATAAGGACATGCAAGACTTAATATGCACCAAGAAAAAAAAAAAAAGAAAAAATTATTGAGTGACTTGAGGCAAAGAAGTCACTTAAGCTTTCCACATTCCATCTTTCTAGTTGCAATAATGATTCTGCCCCTATCACAAGCAGAAACTGAGAGAACTAATTAAGTTTGTAAAGCACTTGGGCTTTTTTAAGTGAAATGTTATGAAGATATAGATTATAATTTGTAGACCCAAAGCCTGCTGGAAGGTAGTGCAACAATCTCATTGTTACAGAGAATAAGACTTAGCACTTGCATTTGGCTGAGAGATGTACGAAGAAAAAAACATATACAGTCAAGTGACTACTGATTCAACAGCTGAACTGCTGAGAGTGCAAGCCTGTTGTTAATTTTCACTGGAAAAATCCTATCTCGATATGAGGTTTTATTACCATTTATAAGCATGTTATTTTCTATCATGCTTTGGTACCATGGCAATTGAGAACTACACAAGTCATCTGCAGATTCTGGCATCCCTGGAATTTGACATTTGCTACTTATAAGATACAGTTTGGGAATGGTCTGGAGTACTACAAGCAGCTTTGTTCAAAATAAAAATGCAGCTATCTGGAGATTCATTTTCTTTGCAGAACAAAGCGGTAGGGAGGCTCTTTCTTGTTGCAAACACAGGTCTTGCCTGCTTCTTCTTGGCCCAGTTGGTAGCACTCTCTGTCATCCCCAGGGCAGGGTCACCCTGCTTCACCCACAGGCAGAAAAATGAACAGGTTGAGGAGAGAGCTCAGTTGGTGAGAAAGCTACAATGCAGGAAAAGATCTATGAAGAAAAAGAGATGAGATAAGGGAGCAAATAAAATTGTGAGAGGGGAAGTAGAGCATGTAATGCTACACGACATCATCAGCCAGCTCATACCAGAGCTACCAGTGCAATCAGACCCAAATTTGAAAGAGGTCCTTGAACACACTCACCCTTCCCTGTAATCACCTACACCAGCCCTTTGGTTGAATATTTGACGGGCACAGCCAAAACAAGCAGGAAGAGAACTTGAGTAAGATAGGGGGGAAAAAAAAGAGGGGATGAAAGGAAGAAGCAAGGAAAGAAAAGGTTGTACAATAAGACATTTCTTTTCCTATCCTGATGGCCCATCGTTTCTCTCTGGTAACCTCCAGTGGTAACAGGCTCAACTGTGCCCCAGAACTATAATTCATATTCTCACATAATATTTAACTTTATTTGGATGAAGAGATTGCTAGCAATGCTAGTTATGAAGTAGCAAATGTAACTGAAAACAGAGCTCAGAGACTGAAAATGGTGTCCAGGGATATGGTATGCTCTTTGCTGTACCTAGCACAAACTTACTCATACATCTCCCACAGCCCATCTCAAAGGCACGCTCCCAAAATGGCCATTTTATTTCTGAAGCCGAAGCTGATGTTAAACCAACTGCCTTTGTCATGTGGAAGAAGGCAAATATAAAAAGGTCACTGAAGTGCCAGATGGAAGAATTTTTGAACTAGAAGCTCTGACATTAATTCTGTGTGTTTGTCTGAAACACTGAACTCAATGAGCAGATTAAACGTCTGTGCTGAATTGTCAAATGAGAAACAACTCACTCTCACAGAAAGGCCAACTGATCAGGCCTGTGGTAGGAATCACAAGATCATACAAATCTAAAATGAAGTTCAAACACTTGAAAAAAGTTTTATACTAGAAGTTATTATGTGCAATGTTTACACAGCTCTTTCCTGTCACCACCACTAACCCACCAAGAGCTGCAATACAGCACATATTTATTCTGTTAACTTGATACCTAAATATTAGCATAATTACTGAATCAAGCACAATCCTGAGGTTAGAAATTATTGTACATGATTTTATGTCCCTTCAACACGGTAAAGTAGAGCTGACCACTTCTAAAACTTGTTTTTTTCCTGTTCATAGCACAGCCTAACTCCAGAAACATGAGTTTTCAGTCCATTAAAGCTGATATTCCTCTCCTCACAGGGAAAAAAGGTCCGATTTTGAAGAGAACCTGGATTAGATTTTAGGTCTATAAAAGCCTACTTATGTCCTCAAACCAAAACCCTGTTCGGTGACAACAGACGTCAGGAGGAGTCACCTAAGGACAGGGTCTGAGAAAAAGGTCACACCGAGGTCCTGACAGCCTGTAATGTTCATGAAAAGAGACAGAAATTCAACGGAGCTGATCTAAAGGGGCGTTTTGCTCTATTTCTGTACTGATGCCCCAAAAGGCAATAACTGTGTTAGAATAAAGCCTGGCAAATAAATTCTTTCTTTTACTTGAGCGATGCTCACATTTGCTACAGTGACATGTAATGTAATATGCTATGCAAGCTTTTCCTGAAATTGCAACCAGGCTGCTGCTTCCATTAAACTGGTTCCAGACTCGCTATGTTCAAAAGCAGGAGGGTCACTCGTCCAGTAAACCAAACAGGAGGGCACAGTAGGAGATCAGCAGAGGTGTCAGCGTGGGAGAGGCAACTTCCAGTGCCAGGCAAGAGCCAAGGATGCCTTGGTAACCAGCAGAGCGGTGAAGAAAGTGTCTGAATATAAACATTCCCCCATGAAATTGTGACAGGTGGTTTCTATACTCTTTTACTTAGTTACCCATTTGTAGTTGTTGTCTATCCTCCTCTGTAACCATATGAACAGCATTTAAAAATAAAGATTAAAAAAATATTTCAGTCCCTTTTCCATATCAGCCTCCTGCTCCGACAGATGGCTACATGTGCCAGTGCAAGTTTATACAGTTTTCTTTCCATAAGTGCAGTATTAGTACTTTTTTGCAAACAGTATATTAAGTCTTTCTGAGTTTACAGGTTTATAATTTTATTCTATCACTCCCCCGATCATGAAGTTATCGAAGTTGTATCCATAAATGCAGTAAGTCTTCCCACTGCCACGTTAAGTGTGAGAAATCTTGAGAGACTTGACAACAAAATGCCTATTCTTGCTAGATTCTGAGGCTGTCAGCAAGGTTTTTAAGAAAATAAATCGTAAACAATTCCATGCCTTGAAAATCAGTTCTACCTAGTTGTTTTAGACTCCTTTACCTATCCCTAGAAAGCCTCTTTGTTCTTCCACAATTATTGCCAAATACTTCTGATTCAAATTAAAACAAAAATTGTCCTCTAACAAGCAGGGAACAAAAATACTGCTGTTGGTCAGATCTGGTCATGGAACTGACAGTATAAGACTTGAGCTTAACTACTCAAGGTCTTTCACAGTACACTCTTCAAGTATATGCTGAAGAGTACTTTTCTAATACAAAGAAAGGAGGAAGGAGACAGATCATGTAATCATTTCTGTGAAATATATTCATTTGCTGATGGAGAGGTTTTACAACCATCTTCTGTCTGGTGTGATGACAACCCTCATTGCACTGAAGCAGCATGCTCTATGGTCCTTTACAAATCAACGGCAGACTCACATATCTTCAGCAGATGCTCTGAAAGTGCATTGCAAGAAATAATTCAACTAGAATGGTAAATTAGTTTGGCTCTTCTTCCTTCAGACCATTTCCTTCATTTAAAAAAAAATACACAAAAATCTACTTACTTCATTCCCTTTCCTGTTTTCTACATTTTTCTTCTTTCCTTGCTTTTTGGTTTTGTTTTTTTTTTTTTATTATCTTGAGAAAAAGCCAGAGGAAAAACTAGGTAATGAAAGTTGTTTGTTTCATTCTGCTAATGCATTTCAAAGTTTCATTCTAGCACCAAGAAAGAAATCTCTCCTGCTCTCAGGTGCTTCATCCCTGAGGTTAACAACCCTACAGCTTCAGAAATGCAGCTTCCAATGCAGATCAATGTCACAAGGAAAGACAAGCTCTCTTAAGTGTTTCTAGATCTGCTCCCCTACATATCACCTTCCAAACCACTGAATTTGACAAAGTATCCTCTGTCAAATCAGCACAGTGTAAAGGAGTAGGCAGAAAAATAGCTTCAAGTTTTCATTATTCACTTGTGCAAGTAATCTCCAGAGATGTGAATAATCCATATTCCAATGCAGTCTCCCAGAAATTTTAATAACAGTCATCCATGACTCTTCTTCCATTGCTTTCTTCCATGGAAGTCTGAGAGTTCAGAAGAGGATGACAAGCCCAGTTTCACAAACAATTAAATGAAAAGTCCTCCTCTGTATTTGGATCTCATGCACATCTGACTTTTTTTTTTTTTAAACTTGTTCTTTCTCTTTTTTTCCCCCTTCAGATAAATGACCTGGTTACAGAATTCTATAAAACTTGAATGAAAAGTCTCAAAGGAATTTTCTAGCAGCTCCTGCAAGTTTGTCAGACTTGCAGAAGCACAATCACTTTCAAAGCAAAAAGGTGTATAGAAGCATAATGACACTTGTTTCTCAGTGCATATGTGCTATGCTCAGAAACATACCATGTCCCACAATTCAGAATTGAATCAGCTGGCATAATGAAAATTACAGCATCTAAAGTTATTCAGAATATGAGGAACACTCCAGTATATCTTTTCGTACAATGACATCTAAAACTTAGAATGGAGACGTTTCAAACTGATAGTAAGAAGAGCTCATCATAAGAAGGACTGCAATTTTATAAGAAGAATTCTATGAATAGCACAGAGATAATGCTCAATTTTTTAAAAAACTACCTATTTCAACAGTGAAAATCACCGCTGCTGCTTTGATGTGTTCAAGCCAAAACATGTGCTGGAGTAGACTTATGACTATGCTCAATTCTAAAGTAAAAGCTGTAACAGTACAAAGCAGCCAAGTCTTCTGCAGTTGATGGCAATTTGCACCTCCAAGCTGTGAGTTCATCATGAATCACTTTCAACAAGCAACAAATCCTAAGAATCAAATTGGTCAAAAATCACAGCCATCATTAGAACATCAGTGAGAAGTCCTCCATCCTTACAGTACATTAGGCTTCTCATGAAAAAACTTTCACAAAACTCAGTCAGACTGCAGACATTTTGCCTGGCTTTGCCTGCATAGCTGCCTACCAGCAGTATAATCACATTTTATGATTATATAATTTTATGTATATGGACTGCTTTGCCAGATACAGGGAATTCCTTGCCAACTTGAAAGTTAGGGGGGTGGTTCCACCACTTTCTCAGGCAGCAGCAAAACCAACCACTCCATCATTAAACTGCAGAACTTTTCAAGACAACCCTTCTGTATGACATTAATATAACATTTCTATAGCCAACATTTATCAACAGAACCAATTTGTTCATTAAAATTCCCACTATTTACAGGGAAGTTTGGGCCAACATATTTTACATGTATTCTCTAATGGTTTAAATACATTTTCTTTGCACTTACACGAAGATTTAATAAAATGGAAGAGGACATATTCAAATGCACTAAACCTGTAGACTGAAAAGTATCAGAAATGAATTAAGTGAAGCTGAGCTTTCACAATGTATAAATAGACATTATGCCTTTTTCTAGTGGTTTCATTTCCTCACTGCTCTCTTGGCAACATTCAGTATCTTCCTTTTCAGGTAAGTTGTATACAATTTAATATAAATTACAAACATCAAACAGAGCAAAACTGAAATATAACTGACATAAATTCTATTCAATTTGCAGGACAGAATGATAAAGACTGGGTCAAAAGCTTGCTGATATGATGTTTGGTACAAGCTTAGATTATTTTATATTTATTTATTGTCTAGTTGAAGTTTATCAAGTTATTTTTCAGTCAGAAGCTGCAACAGATCTTCCAGTTGGCAGGATAAGATAGCAAGTTCTACTCTAACATTAACTTACTCAAATTCCAACAATAAATTCTAAATATTTTTGCAAAATAAAACAAGAATCTCCACCCAAACTTTTCACACCATTTCTGACTAGCACATCAACACAGAGTAAGACAATTAACTGATAAAACTGTGTGCCTCCACATCCTCTGCAGGCCAGTCCAGAACTGATACAGGAACTTCAGAGAAGTCCATCCACCCAGGAATATGATAAACATATCTCTTACCAGCAATAAAGAGAAAACTTGGAAGTTACTTCTACAGAGGCAAAATTATGTGTTTATGGGGTTGATTCAAAAATCTTATACTGCAAAATCACCGCCCTGAATTCAACAATCAGTACTACGTTAAATTACTTTTTCATTAGTTGCTTTTTGCTGAACTATTAAATCCAGAAACCAAGAAAAATAAATGCCTTAAGGTTCTATTTCTTAACTAACCATCAGTACATTCAAGTATCTTCCAAAGTACTACAAGAAAAATCTAATCAGAGATCACAGAAGCCAGTATGGACCTACCTAAGTGAACTCAAGTTCAGAAAATAGTAATTAATTTGTTCTTCCCAAGCTAAGAACACCAGTTACATTTTTCTCTAGTTCAGAAATAGGCATTGGAGAACTGGTATAGTACAGACTCTGTTGTTTCAGTTAATATTTGCTAGGATACTCCTCTTCATTTCAACAGGGTTTGTAAGCTGTAATTATCATTTTATCAGTACCTGAAACACTCAGGAACATTTTACCACTAGTATTATCCAAAACCCAATTCACAAACTGTGTATAGCACTGCCTCACAGCTGGCTATTTTTGCCTTGCTGGGACTTTAAAGACAAATAACGCCACAGAGTTGTCTGGATCTGCTCAGCAGCTCCTTTGACCCTTAAAGGGGTACGTCTACACTCACATTTATACAGGAGTCACTGAACATGACAGCCCAAAACCTCACCTGCCCCAGGCTGAGCGCTCCCACACATTCTCACCCCAGCAAACTTCTGCTGACCCCAAAGACCTGTCCAGGATAGCTACTGAAACCTGCAGGGGCAAATGCCCAGTGGCAGCAGGCACTGTGCAAGGATCTAACTCAAAGAACAAGTAATCCTTTATCCCTTCCCTCTGCAGCTGGAGCCCAGCAGAGCTGCCCATGCCAGCTACCTCGTAGGACTAGCCAGGCACACTTACTCTGCAGCCTGATCACAGTCACCTCCAATGGCTCTATCCATGTTCTCATCCGTGATGGCTCTGGAAGAAACAAGAACTGCTTACCCAAGACAGACAGAGCACCTGCTCAGAGGCCAGCTCTATAAACTGCCCACTTATGCTTACAGTGTGAGGGGAAAATGTCAAAAACTGCAGGGGCAGGTTTGGTTTTAGAGATTTCAGGGATATGGTTTATTTAAGATTTGCACAACAAAATAGCTAAAATAAAAAAGATAGTTAGATGATCCTTTTTGCTATAGGACTTCAATGGCTGGCCAACCTCCTTGCACTAAGATGCAACATTGATGATTTTTAGCCTGCTCAGCTACAACTTCTTGAAGTTCTTTCTGTCCAAACTCAGGGACATGAAGGAGACTATGGCAAACACTCATTCCTCAGATAAGCCCTTATCTCCTGCTGTGACAGACCCCAGCCTCACTAGAAAACTGATCCACACAAAGAAGATCTTCATCTTCATAGAGCACTTGGCACTAACCACCTATTAAACCATATATTTTTTTCCCTTTCCCATCTGTGTTCTTAACTTTTGGACACATTTTCCACACTATAAGTTAATTTCCACCCCCTAGTTAACTTGGGATCTGTGTTTAGCTAAATATTACCACAGGGAATATTATTTATCAATAAAATATGTTCAAAACATTACTCATTTCTTAAGATCAGAAAACTAAAATGGGAGAACTCTAGAGACTGTAGTAACACAGCAAACTGAAATGATGGCTTTAGATTTGGGGAGAAAAAACACTTGGAGGAAGAAAGCTGATGGAAGCAACAAATTTAACATATGAAGTAGATGAAAACATTACACTAGGAGAAAAATGTAATTTAAAATTGGCTTTAAAAAAATTCCACATGCCTGGGTTTTCATTCCTTCTATAACACGGGAGCAAACACAAGTGGTTGAATTACTTCTATGATTTAAACAATGGTTTACAATTTATTAATAGACATGACAGTATAAGTAAAGGAAAACTTCCATAAAAACAATAGAAGAAATAATACAATTGAAATAATTATTGTAATAAAAACATTCCAGGTAATTCTTGAAAAACAAAAAAAAAAGGCAACTCTACTTTCTGAGACAAAACTATGTAAATTAGGTTTGTATACAGTGTGAAAGAGATCACCTCACATCACTTGTATTGCAGTACATACAGTGTTTTTTAAAGAAGGAACTCCAGCAAAATAATAATGAAACCTTCAGAAAATAATTACTATAACACTGAATCTTCACTCTTTAATCATATTCTGTGACAGAGAAGAAAAACTCTTTAATTGGCAAGTACAGAAAAAACAAACATGAATCGCTGTCAAACTAGTTATTTGATCCCACACTGATATACAACTGATCTCTTCCTGGAGTATAATTCACATGCTGCATAATGATAAGCATACTCCCCTAGAAAAGAGTCCCTCTGCTTTTACTCTTAACTAGTAATAGCAAAAACCTTATCTCTTCACTCTACCATTACTACCACAGTTCAATTCCTTTAAATACTAGAACACATGGTGAAATATATTTTTTTGTTCAGTCCACTGGATTTCTGTTGAGAGTAATCTAGGACTTGATCTACAACCGAAACACACTAGCTGTCAGTTCAGTCATCAAAAATAATTCAAATAATTTCATACTATGGCCACATTTTAATCTGTCTTGTACTAAGTGCTGCTCTTTTTCTCCTCTCTTTCCCTGAACATGCTGCTGCTCTAAGCTTTAATACATTGAAATATTCCACCTAAGATCCAAACCTCTGTCAACACACTGCTATATAAGCATTCAAGAATGACTACTTAAAAAGACTACTTCACGTTTTGTTATATTAAATAAAGACAAGAGAAATAAAATCATGGCAGGGGTTAACAAGGCAAAAAGATATTCTGGCGTCCATGATATAGCATGTATTTATAAAGGATCATTTTAATTTTATCTTCCACCACCAAGCAAATCTGTAACTGTTAAAAACATTTATTCAGATCTAGCAAGATGCAAAGACTTGTTAGCAGAGATGAAAAAGTGGCTGATCACGTCCTTCACTCACTCGTCCCAGAGGGCGTTCAGCCAAGCATGTATCGGAAAAAACTGCCCATACTACCCTCTTAATACAATTATAAATTAAGCTGCCAGAGAGAAATACAAAGCTGATCCAAGAAAAGCATCACTTTTAAGCCTTTCCCTACCTTTTCCCTGGTATTTACAAACCGCAGGCAGTACTGCTGGGGAATCTCACCAGGGTGGCTGCCGAGAGGTCTCATGTGGCGTTCCCAGCTTCCCACCGCCTCCCTCTGCCTGGATGTTAAGCATTCCCGAGAAAACCCACCCTGACATGCACAGAATGAATCCTGCTCAAGTTGGAAGCATGTGATAACTAGGCTTCAGATTGAAACAGGAAACCCCAGTATCCAATTAGTCCCAGAGATTTAAACAAGCCCCATCTTACCGTTTTGCTGTTGCCCGGATCAGGTCAGATTCACCTGCAACTCTTTGGCATCTCTCTAGCAATGTTAGTGTTTGCAGTCAGTCTGGGCTCATTCAGCAACTGAATTCACAACATCTTTCTGCACTAGCAAGCTGAAATGGTACGGCTGTACTACAGCTAAGAAAGGGGGAAATCTAAAGCAGCAAACAAAGAAATCCCTCAAGACAGGGTAATCCCTGTGGAGTAAAATATTAAAGGTACAGATGAGCACTGAGGGTACAATATTTCTCTGTCTAAATTTCATCAGCAATACTATGCTCTTTCTAAAAAGATTTTTTTTTTTTTTTTAATATGATGGACTTGCCTGTGGAGTTCCCAGAAAGGCAGAGTATCCAGGCTCTGCAGCAGCATTGCAGCCAAAGTAACCATGCATATGCTATCTAGGCAATTTACAGCAGTCTTTTTGAAAAGATATTGATTTACAATGTAACACTGCCTCAACCCAACACAGAACTGTAGTCAAAATAGCTAATGGTGATTGCACAGGAATTAAGGGAAAAAACTCAACATTCAATCAAAAGGATGCAACTAATCATTCCCAATTCAATTCCACCCCAGTCCTGAAAAAAATCAGCAAGTTCTTGAGTAAAAAATAGTAATACTATAGCAATAATTTATGGGCATCTGGAAACAATCACTATTAGTATCATCATCCACTTTTACAGAAACAATAAATACTAAAAATAATTAAAAATTTATTGAGTCAAAATATCAACTCCGAAGTTAGTTTCAGCATTGTAAGGATGAAACTTAGTATTTAATTTATGAACATACAAAATACACAAAGCTGTGAGTAAGCAACAGACACCTACTCCGTGCTGGGAATCCACTACTGAGCCCAAGTGAGCTTGGGTGCGGTAGGAGGGAAAAGAGAGCAGCAGGACCAAACCCTCAGGGAGGGCTTCTACAAAAGGGATGCAGTGAATCTTCTCCATCTCCTACTCCTACAGCAACCCCTGCTGGCCTGTGCTTCAGATGACTCCTGGCTCCCCAGAAACCTCCCAGGGTTAGGGGAGCACTGGGCAGACTATACTAGGGAAGGGAACAGTAATGTACACATAAGCAAAACCTTCAGGAGGGAAAGCACACAGCTCAGCTTACATGACATCCTCAACACCCTGAAATGTTTTTTCATTTTCATGTAATGAAGAGGTGCAGTGAACTAGCAGGCAAAGTACAGCCCTGGCTCATGCCCCAGGTAGCTCCAGTGAGCCTCATCACAAAACCATTGGAAATGGGTTCCCCTATAGAGTCTCACTTTGAAGAAAGCAGAGTGAGCGTAAACTCACCACATTTGCTCGTCTCACCACAGTCAACAAGACTTACACACATGCTGAAATACTTCTCAACTCCAGGCTGACAGCCAAACCTAGCACCAGTGGCTTCCATGACAATAAATCTTGAATAGCATGAGCAAATTCCCTAAGATGCTCCCAAAATTACATAGTACTTTTCCCCTCTCTATTTCACAACCTTAGTCCCAGAGGTATATTCCAGAAGACTTCTCAGTTTCTCTACTTGGTTTCTAAGCAGATAGAAGGCTTCACATCTCCTGAAAAAAAAAAAAATGACCTCCCCTCTCTAGGGCGAAATTTTCTTCTAGGGGGTCTCAAGTGCGGGTCTCAAAAGAAAACATGAAAAAAAGAGCTCCCAGCTGAAATTATGAGAAAATACATTTGAAACATTTACATTTCTTGACCTTATTCTATCAACATCAAATTTGTCTGAGGCTGAGGGAGAATAGGACAGAAGGATGCTCAGGAGAAAAAAGCACATGCAGAGACCAGTATGTATCAAAAGATGGGCACCATGTTAAGGGAAAAGTAATGGACAGCCATGGGAAAAGAAAATAAAAAAGGCAAGCCAGAGAAACATGGAACTGCATTCCAGAAGCAGGCAAAGAGTTGGGCCAAGGCACAGAGACATAAAGCAAGTCAAACAGCCTACAAAGTCATAGAACCATAGAATATTCTGAGTTTGAAGGGACTCATCTGGATCATCAAGTCCAACTCCCGTCCCTACACAAGACCGTCCCAAGAACCTGACAGTGTTGTTCAAACACTTCTTGAACTCAGACAGGCTTGGTGCTGTGTTCACTTCCCTGGGCAGGCTGTTCCAGTGCCCAGCTACCTCTGGGTGAAAAACCTTTTCCTAATATCCAATCCAAATCTCCCCTGACATAGCTACATGCCATTCCCTCAGGTCATGCCATTGGTTACCAGAGACAAAAAAACCATGACTGCCCTTCCACTTCCCTTTGTGAGGAAGCTGTAAACTGTAATGAGGTCTCCCTTCTGTCTCCTCTTCTCCAGGCTGAACAAACCAAGTGATCTCAGCTGCACCTTGTACGGCTTTCCCTCTAGACCCTTCACCATCTCTGTTGCCCTCCGCTGGACACTCTCTATATCTTTCCTGTATTGTGGTGCTCAAAAGTGCCACAATATTCAAGGTGAGGCTGCTCCAGCACAGAGCAGAGCGGGACAATCCCCTCCCTCGACCAGCTGGCGATGCTTTGCCTGATGCCCCCCAGGACAGGGTTGGCCCTCCTGGCTGCCAGGGCACTGCTGACTCATATTCAACTTGCCATCAGCCAGGACACCCAGGTACCTTTTTGCAGTGCTATTGTCCAGCCTCTCATTCCCCAGTCTGTATGTACACCCAGGGTTGCCTTGTTCTAGGTGCAAAATCTCGCACTCAACCTTAATAAGTTTCATAGGGCTTATGATTGTCCAGCCCTCTGATATGTCCAGGTCTCTCTGCAGGACTTCTCTGTAATGGGATATAACTCAAAGAAGGCAAACCCTTCCATATTTTAAAGTTAATTATTTTTACCGTATTGAAAAAAATTCTGCATTTATGACATTAATGCCCTTCTCGTTGCCTTTGACACCCCTCAAAAGATTCAATTCCAGCTGGGCTTTAGCTTTTGTAGCAGCATTTCTGCATACTTGGAAGATGTCTCTGTATTCCTTCCCGGTTACTTGTTCCTGCTTCCACTTTCTGCATAATTACTTTCTACGTTTGAGCCTTGTTAGGAAGTCTTTGTTCATTCATGCAGGTTTCCCAACATTTTTGCTTGACTCCCTATTGTTCTTATCTCCCTTCTTCTCCTGTGCTAGCCCATCCCTTCCCTTAATCCCAAACCCGTTTGCAGACTGTGGTTGAAAATAACGTGGCTGGAACACAAATATCTGATCTGTTGCTGCCCATGGAACCACAGAGAGGATTGGGAAACCTGGTTGAAAGGCTAAGGTCATCTAGAATTACCAGTGGAATTTATGGACCACACAAAGACCCCTGTAGCATGATATTAGTTTGTTTACAAAGGGGGTGGGAGAATAATTAACCAAAAAGTTTTAATAAAATAATATTTTAAAAATTATTTACCTATGGGTTTTGATTTTAAAGCTCTGCATGGAAGTCAGCTCCAAATACAAGTTTCACATGATCAATGCTTTAAGTCTTGCTTTCATCTCAGAGCAGGCTCCAGAATACTCTGTGGCACTTGAGAACAGTTTCTCACATGTAAGGAGGCATCTTTGGAGCTTTCAAGATAATAGTTATACAGTCATCTGCAAATTGCTACACTTCAAACAGAGAGATTAAACAACGGCACAGCTCTGATGGTCAATCAACTAAACATGTAAACCATCATTTATTAATATGCCATAGTGAAAAACTGCCAGTAATTACCCTGTGTTCTGTGTGGTAATATTACATACCTTTAAAATGGAATTTGTAATTAATGTCCTATTTTCATTACTCTACATTGAATCACCCAAGAGAGATGAGAGGAGATAGGGCACAAGGAAGAAAGGCAGCTAACAGTTCACTCATTTCCAAGAAGTAATACCCAAATGCAGTAATTAGTACAAGTTTCATACATCCATAAGCCCATTTTCTTCTCACAGAAGAAACTGCGTGACTAAGAGTCACTGATCCTCAGCACAAACCCTTCCATTTTGACAACTGCAGACTGAATATAAAAGGGAAAAGTGAACACATTTTACACTTTTGAAAATTTACTCACTTGTGAAAGTCATTTAGACATCTAACCAGCCACTTCGTAAGCCACTGATAATATTTCACAAGAAAATTATTTACAAGCTGTGTTCAGAAACAGAGGGCTGGATGGGAAACTACCTGTCCAAGTCCAGTTCAAGCCCTTGCTATCACAGGGGACAATACAATATGACCCCTTTTTTAAATTGCTATGTTTGAATTTAGTCTGAAGTTTAGTACAGAAAACACGACCTTAATAAAACAATTCAGCAGTGACGCAAATGTATTGAATGCAAAGAAAATCATTTGTATCTTAAGATAGCAAGGGAAGCAGTGGATAATATTGCACAATAGAATGCATGACAAATTATTCCAAGTACAACATGCTGTGAAATTTGCTTCGTAATACCAATATTTGAAATATGCCATCTGCATTATCTGGTGTCATGGAACGTCACTTAAAAAGTCACTCTCTAAAATAAAATGCAATGCCACATAGTGCCCATTACTTTTGCAGCTTCTAAGACCAAAAGATTTGGTGGGTTTAGGGATTGGTTCCATCTACAGTTTGAATTACAAAAATGTTTAAACTGCAAACAGAACAACAGCAACACAGAGAACACTGTGCAATGACTTTACACATCTGAAACACTCAAATCAGTCCAGATGCATTTTCAGCTCCGTGTTTGCACATGAAGGATTAACCGAATGACTTCATACAATTATACTCTTTCTGTGCAATAGGGAAATCTAACTCCAACATTCTCAACATGGCCACATCTTGCTGTGAATACTAATACAGTTGCACAGAGACTGTTTTATTTGTTGTTGATACTTCTGCGTTCTTTGCTATGGTGGCAAAGATCTCATAAAAAAAAATAATTCAGACTACATCACATTGGTGCAGTGTATCTATGATAAGAACTTACATTTGGTCTTTTACCTTGATTTAGGGTTTACTTTTAGGGAAATCAAATACTATTTTCCAGGCCTCACTTTTTTCTCCTTTTTTTAAGTTAATGGTGTTGTACAACTGCTATTCTAAAGAATTAAGTTAGCCTCTGATTATTAGCCAAAGAGAAGACGTGCAAAGGCCAGA